TGGGAAGATGAACAAGTTCAGGAGCTGCATGGTGTGATGGCTGCACAACAGCGTGAATGTGCTTAATGCCACCGCGCTGGACACTTAGAAATGGTTCTAGTGGTGAATTTTATTGTATATGTATTTTACCACAGTAAAAAATGACTTAGAAGTCAAGAAAAAATTTTGTTTAATTATATTTATCTTGTTATCTACTTCTCTATAGAGAAAAAGCAAATGTAATAGAATATTAACATTTGGGGAATCTGGGTGTGAAAAAGATTTCTTTGCATTATTCTTTTTTTTTTTTCATCCTCACCCGAGGACACTTTTGCATTTAGATAGAGCGGGAGGGAGAGAGGGGGAAGAGAGAGTAAGAAACATCGACTGGTTGCCACCCACATGACCCCAACCAGGGCCAGGGACAAATTGCAACCAAGGTATGTGCCCTTAGCAGGAACTGAACCCAGGACTCTCTGGTCCACGGGGTGACATTCTAACTACTGTGCCAAACAGGTCAGGGCTCTTTGCATTATTCTTACAACTTGTCAAATTTTTTTAGTTGAATGGGGATAAAGATGGTTGCTTCCTCTCTCCACAGGGTTGGGTGGAGAAACCTCCAGCACAGGCTTTATCTTAGCATAGGGCAATTCATTTAATCTATCCTTACACCCCATCAACTATGACCTTACTCGTTCTTAACCCTCCCATCCTCCACTGCTTGAAATTTTCCTGACCCACCCTGTGTCTTCTTCCTGTGATGCTAGCAGCCTTTTCTGACAACAGAAAATAGATTTAAAGTCCAGAAATTGCCGTGGCTGATGTGGCTCAGTTGGTTGAGAGTTGTCCCATGCAACAAAAGGTTACCAGTTCAATTCCTGGTCAGGACACATGCCTGGGTTTCAGGCTTGATCCCAACTAGAGGGCATGCAGGATGCAGCCAATTTGTTTCTCTCTCAAACATCAATGTTTCTCTTTCTCTCCCTAAAATTAAAAAAAAAAAAAAAAGTACAGAAATTAAAAGAATCCATCTCTCAGGCTGAGTGAGGAGATAAAGGGATCATCTTTATTTGTTCAGTTTTAGTCAGGAAGTTGTCCCAAACTGAGCCCCTCACAAACCTAAGCACATCAATTTGGTGGCATCACCTCTGAGGGCAGACAGATCAAGGATGCTGCTAATTTGATTACTGACCAATCCAAGGAATCCTCTCTGGGGAACAGAAACCCTTCCAGTGACCACCATGACATGTGACATGCCAATCCTCCCCACACACCTCTGTGCCCTCTGCTCCAGTACTAGTTCAATAGCCACTTGCCCACATCTTCTTAGTGGTAAAAAATGAGCTGGGAGCCACAGAATGAGTCACCATCTTGACCTAACCTTTATTCCTCATGTTCTCTGGGTACCTGCCTAGCCCCTTCCCAACTGGGGGGAAAAATCTAAACTATATAAACCACCATCAAAGAATATGCACACACCTTGTGGCCATCAGCCCCACAGCAAGTCATCCACCTATTGGCAAATGATGGGAGTGTCATTACTGCCTTATTCTTAGGGAGCAAACCCTGAAGTCCCCCAATGCCACTGTCAGTAGGAGGAGGGGGGAGTCAGAAGAGCCAGTTGCCCCCCTGCACCAAAGCAGGCTGAGCAAAAAGCAACTGGCACACTTGCGTACAGAGGCTGTGCCATATGTTCAAGATCAAGCAAAACTCCTGTAGTGACTGGACTCAGGATGGCAGCTGTCCCTGGAGCAGAATGGGGAGGCTGGAGGGAACATTCTGGGTGGATGGCAATGTTCTCTATCTTGATCGAGGTATTGGAGATATGGGCATAAATACTTTTTGCCGAAGTGATGGGAATACTGAACATCATTACATGTCACTTTATGCAAATTATTCTATTTTATTTATTTATTATTTTAATCCTTACCTAAGGATAGTTTTTCCATTTATCATCAAATAGAGTAGGAGGGGTAGGGGGAGAGAGAGAGAAACATCGACATGAGAGAGACACATTGACTGCCTGCCTCCCGCATGACCTGACCAGGGCCGGGAACAAACTGCAACCAAGGCATGATTCCTTGACCAGGAATCAAACCTGTGATTCATTGGTCTGAGGGCCAATGCTCTAACCGCTGAGCAAAACCAGTCAGGGCTATTTTCCAATTTTAAAAAGAACAATGGAGGTCAAAGAACAGCTAGCTATTAAGTTCATGTTAAGTTACTACAAGTGGGTGATCCATAACCTCGCTCAGTTTTTTGCTTCTGAACACTTTCTGTTCCAACAGGGCCAAATGGTTCCCCTGGGGGGCTGGCAGCACATCCCAAGTCCCACAGCAATTTGCAGCGAGTGCCGAGTATACTCCGTGAAAGGAAGGGAACAGGCTCGGGTGTCCCAGACGGTGCATTGTCTACACCCTGTCTACCTGACAAGACTCCGCCACTCGGACTCGTCTGACTGATTCCCTTGCCCCTATAACAAAGACCCCCTTTGTTCCCTGGTTAATATCCTTAGCAGGTCTGTCTAGACTCACTGTGGCAGTAATGGTCCTATGATGTCACCAGGACTAGTTACCCATCTCCCCCTCCCCTGCTCAGGCAGGGAATGCTCCAGATGGCCCCAAGTCAAGGGGTCCTGGTCCTTGACACCTACACCTACCTGGGCCTCCTAGGAAGAGAGACACGCAGCTGGTGTCCCATGCCACCTGGGGGAGACAAGACACATGAAAAACATAATCTCTTCTGCAAGAGGTGCTGAGGAGCACCATCCTGGGGGAAGACCAAAGTGGGGGGTCACCCTCAGTCCCCACAACTCCCACCTTCTGATATGGCTGGCAGAAGTTCACTCAAGGCTGAAGAAGGAAGTTCACAGGAAGGAAGGGGAGCAAAAGACGGACAGAGAGATGGAGTAGGAAAGGAAGAGAGACTCCTAGAGAGGCCAAGAGAAAGAAAGACAGAGAAACAGAGATGGAGAGAGATATAAAAAGAAGGGCAGATTGAGACAGAGAAAGACAGAGACCCACAGAGAGGCCAAGAGAAACTGAAAGAGACAGAAGGGGAGAGACAGAGATATAAAGAGAGCTGAAGAGAGGAGGAGAGACCGACAAGGAAAGAAGTCAAGCTGGTCCCTGAGAGAGAAGGAGGTGTTCCTTCTACAGATAGTACTTGGGTTTCTGAAAAATCAGTTGGGACAGAAAGTAACGCTGCTTACTCTGTGTAACTAAATCCCCATCTTCATTCTCAGGTGACAGACATCAACTGTTCCTGCGACTCGAATTTGGACCACACCAAGCACACCCAAGGTCTATTTTCTTGAGATATCGATTTGACCTATGCAACAGCTGCACTCTTTTCATAGGCAAATCTGTTTTATCCAGGGCAATGACAAAGCACCCACAGCAGTTCTGAGCAACCCCTGGGTGGGTCACGCAGACAACTCGGGACCAGCACAACTCCACTGACGTGGCGTTCTAGTACAGGCAAGACTCACTCAAGGTGGCAATAGCGTCAGCAGAGAAGTTTACACTTTGAGGAGGGAGGTAGCTGGAGGGGCACAAGGGGTTGGAATGTTCTCAACCTTGATCCAAGCACAGGCGACATGCAAGTGCGTGTGTGTAATTTTCCACGGAGTTATGCAGGCGTTCAGAGGGTATCTGTACCACTCCGGGTTTTTTTAGGACAGAGAAACAATCAGATCTGGATAGGTTGGTGTCTTTTTAGCTGGGGTTGGTGGAAAATCTTTTCTTGTTTCATAAACTTGAGGAAGAAAACTGAAAGTCTTCCAGAGGACAGGTCTGGAGAGATAAGCGACTGAACAGAAGGGGCATTTCCCCTTGGGCAGCAGCATGAAAAGCAGCCATCCCCTCCATCCAAGTCCCAAAGCTGGGCGGGGGGGGGGGGGGGGCTTCCAAAGATTGTTTAATTGATTTTTCTCCTATTTAGATGCAGATCATCGTGTCTGGGGCCCAGGAATTCAGACACATGGCTTTGTGTCCACTCAGCCCCGTGAAGGCTCCAGTCTGAAACCCGCACAAAGCCAGACACACAAGTCTTCAGAAACACGCTGTTTCCTTTTTGTCTGGGGCTCCAGGGAGCGGGTGCTATGAGCAAGGCCTCGAACATGCTCCCATCTGCAGGGTCCTGGGGACCTTATCCCTCTGTCCCGCTCACATAATGGGGTGAAAATTTTTTAAAAAGGCAAGTCACCAAGATTTTAGAGGTCTGGATTAGGGGTGATAAAAAAGGCGGGGGACTCCAACTAGAGGTTGAACCATCAAAGTTTCAACTTGGAATTTTCTTCAAATTCAGGGCTCTGGAGTGGAAAGCATGCAATGCTTTAAATCAAGCAGCTAATGGGCTAGGATTAATAGGAGTTTGACTCTGGCCTCTGCAGATCTGATTTATATAAGAAAACGTTTTTTTCTCTCTGCCCATTGTTCCCTAGTCTGTCCCTCCAAATGCCCCATCTGACAAAGAAACTGGAAAGCTCACTGGCTGTCACCCTGCTCAGGAAAGCAGGAAAGAACCCCCCCCCACCACCACCAATATGTAGCCTTCTCTTCCCTCAGCTGCGAGGAGGTACCAGTGAGGGTCACTGCACCACCTCAAGGTTAACACATTCCCCAATATCCCTGCTTGGTCCCCCCCAAAACATGGCTGGGGCATGGGGCATTTCTGAGGCAATGCCATTCTGTTTTTGTGGCTGTATGACTTCAGATCATTCTCTCTGGGCCTCAGTTTCCTCATCTGTAAAGTGAGTGCAGGAATAACTGCTCCTAACCATGCAGGAGTTGTTCGGAAAATTCAGAGTGCTGGGCTGCAGAAAACACTTGGCACAGAGTGGTGCTCAACACATGTAAGCTATAGCAGTTGCTATCTGACAAGATGTGTACATCAAACTGAAATATTTCACAGGAAGCTTCACAGGTGATGTTCTCGTTGTAGATTCCTTCCTTTCTTTGGTTCCAAATATTGCCAGCAGGAGCCCAGCCCCAAGATTCCTCCCTTCATATCTGAGTTACCTGGACTGCAATCCAGCTGGCGTTCACGGTGTGCTCCCCAAAAGGACCAAACCCTAAAACAAACAAACAAACAAACAAAAAACCAGTAAAAGCAGCATGTCACCACAGAGTGGCCCTTCTTAGTCTACCCGGCGTCAGGCTGTTGCCTCCACTGGAGAGAACAGAGCAGGGAGCTGCTCCTGCAGCTGCCACCTGAGATAATGTCAGAGGCCTGAGTTCTGGGGCATACCCAGTTGTATTTCAGAGCCGCCCCTCCCCAAAATTATCTGATCTTAATTGAAGCTGTATGTCCTTTTCTGTCCTTACTTTCACATGACTCTCATGCCCAGCAAAAGGCCAGTGACCTCCTTTTGCTCCAGAAAAGGCTAGTCTTGCTCCCTTCTCAACTTCCTCCCCTGTCCTTGACCCAGTGTATAATTATTTTATCACTGTCTTTCTGTGAGGCCTCTCCCCATTCTGGAAATGCAGGGGACTATAGACACTCTATGAGTTATCACCAAATGAAGAATGGCCCTTGCCCTGGCCAGTGTGGCTCGGTTGGTTGGGCGTCACTGCATGCACAGAAAGGTAGTTGTTTCAATTCCCTGTCAGGAAACATGCCTGGGTTTCGATTGATGTTTTGCTTCTCTCTCTCCTTCTCCCTTCCTCTCTCTCTAAAACTCAATAAAAGCCCTGGCCAGTTTTGTTCAGTGGTTAGAGCATCAGCCCACAGACCAGAGTCTCAGGTTTGATTCTGGTCAAGAGTACATATCTCAGTTGTGGTTCCGTTCCCATTCTGGCTTGGTGTAGTGTGGGAGGCAACCAGTCAATGTGTCTCTCTCACATTGATTGCCCCCCCCCCCCCCGTATCTGAAGAGAAATGGAAAAATATCCTTGGTAAGGACTAAAATAAATACATTAATTAAACTCAATTTTAAAAATCTTAAATAAAAAAAAAAGGATGGCCCTAACCGGTCTGGCTCAGCAGTAGAGCATTGGCCTGCAGACCAATGAGTTGCAGGTTTGATTCCGGCCAAGGGCACATACCTTGGCTGTGTTCGTCCCCGGCCCTGGTCGGGGTGGTGTGGGAGACAACCAGTTGATGTGTCCCTCTCACATCGATGTTTCTCTCTCTCTCTTCTTTTCACTCCCTCTCTCTCCTTCCCACTCTATCTGAAGATAAATAGAAAAATATCCTCAGGTGAGGATTAAAAAAAAGGGGGGGGGATGCATGTAGGTGTCTCCCAGGCTAGGCTGTCCAGATACCATCCCACCACCCTCCTCCCCACTTGCTCATACTCCAGCCCCATTTACAAACCAAGACAGTTCATCCAGAAATATGCTAAGTGCTCTGTGTGCACTGTGGCATTCAATTTCACTGCATCCCCTTTCAAGAAAGGATGCTTCCACCCTGGCCAGTGTTGCTCAGAGGTTAGAGCTTCAGCCCACCAACCAAAGGATCTCGGGTTTGATTTCCGGTCAAGGGCACATACCTGGGTTGCAGGTTTGATCCCCAGTCTGTTGGGAGGCAACCAATAGATGTTTCTCTCTCTTTCTCTCCCCCTTCCTCCCTTCCACTCTTTCTTAAAAAAAAAAAAAAAAAAATCAATGGAAAAAAAATATTCTCAGATGAGGATAAATTAAAAGAAAGGGTGTTTCCTGGGCCCATTTTACAGGAGCTGGACTGAGGCCCAGAGAGGTAAAGCCAGCTGCCCAAGGTAATACAGCAAGAAGATGGAAGGGTGGAAGAGCTGGGATTCAAACCCAGACCCATGAATCTATGGCTTCCCTCTTCTCATTACCATGTCACTCTGCCTAATAAACATCTCCAAGAGAGGCTGCTCTGGAAGTGCGGGTCACTCCAGTTGGACTGAGGGTCCCAAGTAGTGTCAAGGCCCTGGGAAGGATGCTTGCCTTAGAACAGCTGGACCTGCCCTGGCCGGTTTGGCTCAGCGGTTAGAGCGTCAGCCTGCGGTCCTGAGAGACCCGGGTTCGGTTCCTGCTAAGGGCACGTACCTCGGTTGCAGTTTGTCCCCAACCCTGGTTGGTTGTGCGGGTGGCAGCCATTCGATGTGTTCCTTTCACATCGATGTTTCTCTCTCTCTCTCTCTCTCTGTTCCTCTCTCTCCCTCCCACTCTACCTGAACAACAACAAAAAAAAAAAGGAAAAAAGAAAAAAAAAAAAAGAACAGCTGGACCTCTTCCCCCAAGCTAAGTCAGGACTTCTCCACTCTCTCCCTTCTCCAGCACAAACTGCAAAGTCCTAGCTCAGCCACTTACAAATAGGGTGACCTCTGTGAGCCTCAGTTTCCCCCTCTGCTAAACAGAGACAGTTAAGATGTCATGAGTTCATGCAAGGGAAATGCCCTGTCGGATGGCTGCCTGCATAGTCAGCAATAGAGCTACAATAAGCAGATCCAGAAGGGCTGCAGGGGGTGGTAACCCTCCCTCCAATTACACACACCTGCTAGTCAGGTGAGTGGCTTCTTCCGTCTTCCTGGGAATTCCAAGACCAGTTCCACCCTCCCAGGCCACAGAACACCAGTGTGAATCTTAGTTGGATTTCCTACTGGGACCCCTCCAGAGGCGAGTCAAAATGATCCCCCAGCCACCCGCTTAGCGGAAGTTGATGTCCACGTGGTCCTGAGGAAAGCGTCCTCGAGGAAGAACAGTTATTTTCGGGGTGTTGGTGACAGCGGAGCCCAGGCTTACCCACAAACAGCCTAGGCAGAAAAGAGTTTGACCAAGACGGTCCCTGGGACAACTGGGAGAGTGGCCGGGCACCCGAAGTCTCCTGAGCTCCACCTGGCCTGGCTGGGGCGGGTGGGGGGCGGGGGGCGAGGAGTAGCCCCGTTAGCGCAGGACTCGGGGAGCAGTGGCTGTCAGAAGGTTCATCTGTCACTGGGGCACTTCCTGCCCACAAATTGGCCTTTGTCCCCTGGGGCCGGGGGTGGGAACAGGCCCGACCTCGGGGGGGGGCAGGAAGGGAGAGTCCAGTCCAGGCAGGTGCCCGGAGGGTCACTGTGTCCACCTGGAGAAGGAAGGACGCCAGAGGAGACTGCTCAGCGCGAGGCACTCGACTGGACCCCCTCGCTCTTGCCTGCCCCGACAGTGGGACCATAGGGGCGCCCCTTCTCCACTTTCTATGTTGCACAGCCCGAGCTGAGCTCCCGTGGGCGATGACATCTTCTAAACCTGGCATGACTTCCGGCACCAACCACACCCCATCCCCGACCCCGGCCGCCCCTGGCCCCGGCCGCCGCCATCTGCGCGTACCCGTCACCACCACCGCCTTCCGGGGCTGCTCCATTTCGTTCGGGCTGCGCCTCCGACCGGCTGGAGTCCGGACTGGCGCGCCCTACGCCGCCGAAGCCCAGCCCCCGGCCCCGCCCAGGCCTCACCACGCCCCTGGTCCCGCCACGCCCCGGGCCGACCGGCGTGCGCGCCCCCGAGGTCCGAGACGCTGCACGCACAGCCTGCGATGGGCGATCTACCCAGGAGCGCCCAGCTCCGCGCCCTCCCCAGCCTCAGTTTTCCCACTGGTAACGGGAACAGTTTGTCCCGTAGGATGTGGCCGCTTGAACTCACTGAATCAGGCGCTAGGGACAGGCTGGTCACTTATGCCGCAACTGTTCACTGAGTGTCTGCAGTGAGTTATCTGGGAGACCCTCTCTTCTCCCCCTACTTCTCTATAAGCAAGACTCCGTTGTTCGTTCCGTTTTATAGATGAGGAACCTGAGGCACAGTTCGGAAGGCCACTGGGCTAGAGCCTCCTGGAATCACAGAAGTGACATGCAGGCCAGGAGGTTGAGCTAGGGAACAGTTAGGTGGTGCCGGAAGGTTCTCTGCAGGCTTCTATGTTACTAAGAAGGCTGATGAAGCTCAGAGACCTCAGGCTCCCCTCCCTCTGTCTTCCCCCACTCATCTCAGTCTAGCCCCAGCAGTCCTCCAAGGGTCTAACACAGTTCCACACCAGGGCCTTTGCACTTGCCGTTCCCTCTGTCTGGAACATGCCCTGCAGTTACTGGAAACCTAGATACTTTCTCCCCTTCAGGTCTCAGGTGGAACATCACATATACCTAGGAGCCCTCCTGGCTGTTACCTCCTCTAGGGGTCCTTACCTTCTCTGGCTGAAATCACCACAATCCCAGGAGGCCCATCTCATTTTCTTATTTCATTCTCTTCACATTCAGAAATCATTCTTTAATAGGCACTGCTTTTTCTGGTTTATTTCCCATAACTTCTGACAATAAGGGTTAGGACTTCCATACCAAGGGTGTGTCTCTATTACATCCGTGTTCCTGCACGCAGTAGGAGCCTGGCCAGAATTCCTCCAAAAACAGCCTGAAATATAAAGCTGCATTTCTGGCCACATTCTCAGAAACTGGGCTGGACCTTAGACTTGGGTCACTGATGTTGCATTCCAAGTAGCCTTGGCCCCAATTAGCTAGGGTGCTGCTGAAGTACTAGTTGCCTCTCGCCCAGGCCTCAGAATACCCAGGGCAGAGGTCTTTGTTTACAAGCTCAAACTGGAGGTCACATACTTAGTGACTATTTGGGTCTCTGGAAGCTTCAGGTAGAATTCAGAAAATTCAGAGCAGGCCTGGTCTAGCCTCTGGAGCAAGATCCAAACAAGTGGGATATGAAAACAATGAAAATCTCACCCAGAATCAGGTTTTATAGCTCAAACGTGTAGTAAGTGTCTCATGCAAAGTGCAGATGTTGCTAAAATCCTGGGATGTGAAGAGAGGGAATTCACAATGGGCTTCATTTTCCCCCATCGCACCAGAAAAAAAGGGAGGAAACTGATAACACCCAGAGTCAGCCCAGAGGGAAGGAACTGAATCCCATGCTGTTGCCAAGAATGAGTGGGGGTAAAGGCTCATGTTCACTGGTACCTGAGACATCCACCAATCCTCTTCAAGTGTATAACTGGGATTCTCTTTTTTTTATCCTCACCCAAGGACATTTTTGCATTTATCTTCAGATAGAGCGGGAAGGGGGTGAGAAACATCGATGTGAGAGAGACACATTGACTAGTTGCCACCCACAAGACCCCAACCGGGGCTGGGGACAAACTGCAACAGAGGTACGTGCCCTTAGCGGGAACCGAACCCAGGACTCTCTGGTCCACAGGCCAACGCTCTAACCACTGAGCCAAACTGGCCAGGGCTGGGGTTCTCTTTTTATTTTATTATTTTTTTTATCCTCACCCGAGGACATTTTTTTCACTTTTTATGTTCAGATAGAGTGGGAGGGAGAGAGAGGAAGAGAGAGAAACATCGACGTGAAAAGGACACATCGAGCGGCTGCCACCTGCACGACCCAACCAGGGCCGGGGACAAACTGCAACGGAGTCATGTGCCCTTAGCGGGAACCAAACCCGGGTCTTTCTGGACCACAGGCCAATGCTCCAACCGCTGAGCCAAACTGGCCAGGGCTGGGGTTCTCTTTTTAAATCTCCCAAAACCCTTGGAGGAAGGGACTATTCTTACATCATTTTGCAAGTAAGAAAACTGAGGCCCAGAGCAGCTAAACCACTTTTCCCAGGTCACACATGGGAGGGGTTGGGATTTGGATCAAGAACACATGGACACGTCCTTAGGGGAGGCAAACAGAACCCTAAAATATCCTGGCTGGAGCTACCAAGATGTGTGCTCAAGGATCAGGTTTGCAACAGTGTAATCACTAATGCAATGCCCATGGTAGGCTATATGAAGGCACAGAGAGGAGGATGGAGAACGCTAAAAAAAAGAAAGACCGTTACATTGGAAAGCCAGGTGCAATAAAATGGTGCAGCCGCAGTGAAATAAGTGTGGCAGCCCGGCTGGTGTGGCTCAGTCGGTTGAGCCTTGTCCCGTGCAACAAAGGGTCCCTGGATCCATTCCAGGTCAGGGCACACGCCCAGGTTTTGGGTTCAATCTCCTTTCAGGGGGTGTGCCGGAAGCAACCAATCCATGTTATCTCTCACATCAATGTTTCTCTCTCTCTCTCTCTCTCTCTCTCTCTCTCTCTCTCTCTCTCCCCCTTTCTCCCCACCCCCTTCTCTTTGAAATCAATTTAAGAAAAAAAAAGTTTGGCACTTCATCAAGAACTTAAACATGTGTACCATAGGACCCAGCAGTTCAATGCCTAGCTGTAAACCCAAAACGATTTAAAGTATTAGGTGTTCAAATACTTCTTCTTTTTTTTTTTAATCCTCACCTGAGGACATTTTTCCTTTTTTGTTCAGGTAGAGTGGGAGGGACAGACAGGAACAGAGAGAGAGAGAGAGAAACATCGATGTGAAAGGGACACATCGAGAGGCTGCCACCCTCACGACCAACCAGGGCCGGGGACAAACTGCAACCGAGGTACGCGCCCTCAGCGGGAACCGAACCCGGGCCTCTTGGGACCGCAGGTCGACGCTCTAACCGCTGAGCCAAACTGGCCAGGGCTCAAATACTTCTGATGAGTGTTAATGACAACACTATTCACAATAGCCAAACAGTCAAAATAAAATGTCCATCAAGGGATGAATGGATAAACAAAGTGTGGTTTACCCACAGTATGGAATATTACTCAGCCATAAAAAGGTACAAAGTTCTGATACATGCATGGATGAACCTTGAAAATACCGTGCAAAGTGAAGGAAGCCAGTCACAAAAGGCCACATATTGCATGATTCCATGTATACGAAATGTCCTCAACTTGCCCTGGCCAGTTTGGTTCAACAGTTAGGCAGCAGTTCTCAACCTGTGGGTCTCAACCCCTTTGAGGGTTGAACGACCCTTTTACAGGGGTCACTTAAGACATAACAGCAGGAAAATTACAGTTATGAAGTAGCAACAAAAAAATTATATAGTTGGGGGTCACCACAACATGAGGCACTGTATTAAACAGTCACGGCATTAGGAAGGTTGAGAATCACTGAGTTAGAGCATCAGCCTGCAGACTGAAGGGTCATAGGATCAATTCCCCATCAAGGGCATGTACCTGGGTTGCAGGTTCAATCAGGGGTGGGAGGCAACAAATCCACGTGTCTCCCTCACATCATGTTTCTCTCTCTCCCTCCCTTCCACTCTATCTAAAAAATCAATGGAAAAATATCCTCAGGTGATGATTAACTAAAAAAAGAAATGTCCTCAACAGCCAACCCATACAGACAGAAAGTAGATTAGTGGATGCCAGGGATAGGGGAGGGGGAAAGGGGAGTGACTACAAATGAGGACAGGGTTTCCTTTTGAGTTGATGAAGTGTTCTGGAACTAGATAGAGGTAATGGTTGTGCGACATGGTGATTATACTTAATGCTACTGAACTGTACACTTTAAAACAGTTTAAATGGTGTTTTGTGTTATGTATATTTTATTACAATTCTTATTTAAAATTTTTAAAAATATGTTTTTAAATCAATTTTAGAGAGAGAGGAAGGGAGAGGGAGAGATAGATAGAAACACTGATGAGAGAGAAACATTTTTTTTCTATCCTTACCCAGAAACATTTTTCCATTTATCTTCAGGTAGAGTGGGAGGGACAGAGAAAGAGAGAGAGACGATGTGAGAGAGACACACAGATTGGCTGCCTCCTGCCCAACCCGGATCAGGCCAGGAATCGAACTGCAACCAAGGTACATGCCCTTGACTGGGACTCTTTGGTCCGCGGGCCAACGCTCTAACCACTGAGCAAACCAACCAGGCAAGAGAGAAACATCAATCAGCTGCCTCCTGCATGCCCTCCACTGGGGATCAAGTTCAAAACCCAGGCATTCACCCTGACCGGGAGTTGAACCAGCGACCTCTAGGTGCATGGGTTGACACTCAATCACCGAGCCACATCAGCCAGGCAATATTACAATATTTAAAAGCCAATGTGGAAGCATTTATGGAATGAAAAACAAATGCAAGAGAAAGACAGATGCACACAAATGTATTTGCAAAGGCAGCAAAAGTCTCAGAAAGGAAGAGTGAGAAATTGACAACACTGGGCCCTTTTGGGGAGGGAACCAGATATGGGAAGGGGGGTGAAAGTGGGGGTGGAGGGGAGATACCTCTAACATTTTTTGCACCGTGTACACACATCAATTACTCAGAAATAAATATAATACACACTTTTTTTTTTTATCCTCACCTGAGGACACTTTTCCATTTTTTGTTTAGATAGAGTGAGAGGGAGAGAGAGGAAGAGAGAGAGAGAGAGAGAGAAAGAAACATCGATGTGAAAGGGCCACATCGAGTGGTCGCCACCCACACAACCCAACCAGGGCCGGAGACAAACTGCAACCGAGGTACGTGCCCTTAGCGGGAACTGAACCCGGTCTCTCTGGACCGCAGGCCTACGCTCTAACTGCTGAGCCAAACTGGCCAGGGCAATA